CTCCAAGATTGCTGTTAATTCGTTTAACAGCCGGTTAAATGATTTCACGTCAGCCGAATATAGTGTGAAAATTCCTGTACGGCTCAGTTGGATATCTGTTATTCTGACGTCGCTTAAGTGTTGTTTAAGGATGTCATTCAGTTGAATTTTGTTGATTTTAACTCCCTCTAAAATCAGAGGTGCAATGTTAAATTTTGGTTGGCTTGTTGTTTTCGCTATTGCGCTTCTGCCAACGTGTTCATTTTGTTGTGTCATGGCGGACTGTTGTGCTTTGTTGTCGGCGTTTATGTTTCTTCTCGACCGGCTTGCGCCAGTACCACCTCCTGCTTTAGCAGGCATTTCTGCAGTCGAGCGACTTACCTTTATTGAAGATCTGGCGCTTGGGACGATTTGTACCAGATAATCTTCGGGAACGAGCGATTCTCAAGTCTTCGATTTGGACCGAGGTTCGAGGTTGGAGAGAGATTGAGAGAAAAAGTGCAGAGGGTGTATAGTCTGTTTTTAATCTTATCGAACGAAATATATGCAACTGATCGCTACCACGTCGTAAGGAGGAATGAAGAATATACCTAGAAAGATAGAAAACATCGATTAGATCGAATTGCCATGTACCTGAACAGCGGAAATCAAATAATAGTCGTATAAAAAAAGCGCATTTGAAAGTAGTACTTTCTGGAGCATGGTAGTGTTACCTAGATCTTATTTCATAGTTAATAGTTACACGAGTGTCTTTTCATACAGTTTTGTAGAGAATTGAATGGCACATCTTTTGAAAATGAGCTGAAGTCTGAGTAATGAAAACTGAGCGAGAAATTGACAAAATCTGGAGACCGCCATTATTTATGGCCCACCCGTTATTTCTATATTGTAAATTTTTCATAAACAGAACGCTAAAACTACTTTCGTAGTATATATCCGCTTTCTTTTAAAATACTCTATCAAATCTTTCCGTCAGAATTAGAAAACCATAGCTCAATAATCTCAAATAATGATCTTGGTTATTATGATGACCTATTGTTATTCATATAATCAATTCATAAGATTTTCAAAGCTACACTTAGACATTCTTAATGCGCTTCTAGTACAATGATTTTTTACTTTTATCAATGAATATTCAATTGTAAAACTATTAGATTAGAATTTTCTGGCTGAAAAGAGAAAAACGATCTTTTTATATGAATCGTGCTCAGAAAAAATGGCTTTGCTCAACCGTAGCAAAATATTTTTTCAAACCGATACGTAACTTTTTTCTCTATAGTATGACGAACAGAATGATGTAAAAACATTGGGTAAATAATGTATCAGGCGGGACTACATAGATTTTTGGTGTAAGTCAGTCGATTTCTGACAAACTGTTCCGTTATTAAAATATTTGCTCATAAATATATCATGGAACATGTCAAATTTCCTATCAGTAGATGCAACTTATCACGGTAGATCGAATGAGTCCATTTTCAAATGATTTCCGTAACAAAACCATTGTAAAACAGCGAAATTCCTCAAAAAAATCATGCTTTTTATACATATAAAAAAACGATCTTTTCTCATTTTTTGCCTATAAAAAGGCTTGTAAAATTTTTTTCGTATATAGAGTTTTGTAGAGCTCGTCGAGCTCTATCGACCTACGTAAAAAAATTAGCAAAAAAAGTTTACTCGATTTTTGAATTTGGTGCACCTTACTTATATTAGAAGTATAAATAGGCTGCTACTCTTATTATCAGTATTAACACTAGTACTCTCAGCGTGGGTCATTTTTGACCCAGTTGGTAGTAAATGTAACCACGCTTAGAATTTTTTTTGGATCCGCATTTTTTTACAAGAAGTTTTTAAATGAGACTGGCGATATTGTTATGACTCCGGGTCATCGTAGGATATTTACGAGCCATGAAAAGAATGGATGCAAAGCGGCTATGCCAGATAGCAGTCTTCAGGGTAGAAAAACAAAGATTTTCAAATTATAAGAGTGTTTTTTAGATGAGATGGACAACCATACTCGAATAAAACAAAATAGCTCATTTATGTGCATAAAAAGTGAAAAACGAAGGGCAGTAGTACAAGGGTTAATCAAATTCATTTCAATGCCACTGATAAAATTAGTATTATTAGATTTAATCAAGGATCATAACTTGGATAATAATGCTTATCTTTTCTTTAAATCATCAAATTAACATTTTAAGTAACACACATTGATTTTGCGTAAATAATTCAAATTCTTCTTGAATCAAAAATATTCTTTCAAATATTGAGTTTGTTCTTCTTGACAATTGAATTGGAAAAATGAAGATAAACTTTTTCAATTATCGAAGGATTAAATATATATTTCGAATAAATGAAAGTGATGTTTTATCAAAAGCAAATCTTTTTTTTCGTTCAAATTCAATCTACAATGAAGGTAATAATAACAACGATTTGTTTCTTTTTGCTTCTTTTAAGGTTTTTCAAATCTTATCTTTCTAATTAATTAAATATATTTTATTTTTATTTTAGAGGTTTGTTTATTATTTTATTTGATGTGTTTATTAATACGATTAATTCTATTGAATAGTTGAAATCAATTCACAAATATGTTATAGTACATCTTCATACAGTCGATGTTCGAATAATAGTGCTTGTGGCTGTTTTCCGATCGTTGGTGCTCAAAATGTTGATATTCGTGCTTTTTTATGGAAACTTTGTTCTCATCTTCTTCCATGTCAACTATCACAAGATTGTTCTGAACCCAAGGGGGAAAGAGCGGAATCCCGAATCCGGAATCCTGAAATCCAAAATAATCTGAAGGAATCTCAAAGAATCCAATAGAATCTATCGAAATCCTTTGGCATTTGTCGGAATCAAAAAGAATCAATTAAAATGATTGGAATTCTTGGAATCCAAACTGATCGGATTCCGCTCTTTCCCCCTTGTATCACCATTACTTTCGAAGGCAGTCACGAATTAACGACTCCTGGGTACTCGTAAAATACGGTACTTGGGGACCCACGGATACCTTCACAGTGAAGGTTCTGAAGACTATAGGTACCCCTATAGTATAGGACTTGAGGGCCCATTGGTATGCCCACAGTGGGTGACATTAGGTTTCTTGGATTTCCTGAAAATGGGCTCTATAAGGGCCCAAGGATAACGCGAATATATACGACTAGAACACTTACGAGCATTCCAGAATTGCGCCGCATGAGGACCTATAGGTACCTCTCTGATAAGATACATAGCAACTTATCGGTACGCCCACAGTGGGTCACATGTGCACTCATGGACATCCGGAAAACAGGCTACATAAGGACCATGGATACCGCGTAGTCGCACAACTTGAAGATTCATGAATACCTTCAACATGCGCCTTACGAGGACCGATGGATATCACTGGAGTACTCGATAGTATGTGTTTAACCTTTGATCCTTGATTCCGTGCAAACAAACAAACAATTTTTTTTTCATATAACCCTCTCTACAGTTGAGGGAACAATACAAGAAGAATAGTATATAAAAAAAACTTGAATTCGGAAAATAAAAAATAACCTATGAAATGTGAAAATTCTTGTATATCATAACTAAATTGTAGCATGTTACAGTAAATCTTAATAATTTTGACGATAAAATGCTGCCACTTTTCGTTCACATCGACATTCTCCTTGTAAACATGTTACTTATACAAATTTTCAAATAAAATTCTACTAGAAAAACGTAAGAAGCAAAGCAATGAAAGCGATAGTTGTTGGAATTAGTTAATAACGTAAGAACTTTAGTATTCGATGATTGCCTGTGTCTGCCACATACAAGTTAAGTTGGCTATCAAGTCTCAAGGACCTGGGTAACAGTAATGTCGTGGCACTACTACTATTAGCACCTGTACCTGCGATGGTAATTCCATTTGATTGACCAGCTTTAAAAAATTGAATGCGATGATTATTTCTATCAGCTACGTAGAGATTACCCATAGGATCTAGTATCGCTTCATAGGGACTATTCAAATGTGTCGAAGTGTTGCCTGCAAAGCCACTAATATTTCCCGCGACAAGTGTCCACGTATTTGTACCAAACACATATCGAACGATATTATTAACGAAAGTATTAGCAATGATAAGACTGTTTGAAAATAAATCCAGATGTAGACCATAGGGATAATATAATTTTGTGTTATTTATTCCTGCTCCATTGCCACCGAAAAGCAAAGTGCTGAAATTAGTACCAGACGTATGTGACATAATTCGATGATTGAATTGATCTGATATATAAAGTTCACCTGATGTTGGATGAAGTGCAATGCCAATGGGATAATACAGTTGATTGCTTGAGTTTCCATATATATCTAAGAAGAGAATCTTTTATATCATTGTTCCAATTACGTGAAAAATGATATAGTTCTAGAGAAAATCAATTATGATTTTTGTCTTACTTGTTATACCAGCTACTGTCATTGTATAATTAGCATTGTTCGGCCAAAATTGAATTCGATGATACGATGTATCTGATATATACAAGTTACGATTGGAATCCATTATCATACGTGCAGGATTCGATAGTTGATACTGCGAATAATTATATATTCCACTTCCAGTGACTGTCGTTCCATTCAAGATACCGAACAAATATTTTTGGATTCGATTATTTTTTCGGTCAGCGATATAAAGGTTATTTTCATAATCTAGTATGATATCAGCAGGATCATTTAGTTGATGGCTTGCATTGCCTGGCATGCTACTAGTGCCAGCCACTGTCATACCAGTCGAGTTCCATCGCAATTCAGGTGTATAGCCTACATGAATATAGACTGTGAAACTTGTAACTAAATGACAAAAAATTGTTACTTGGCACTGATTTTGTTGATTTCGGTTTAATTAAGAACAGAAGAAGAATTATTCCAGCTATGATTAACAACATAATTGAAGTTCCAATTATGCTTGCCTTGACGTATTGAGATGCACATCTAAGACTAGCTAAATAGATTGAAAATGCAATAGTGTTCTACAAACTTTATTTTCTTATTCTTTGTCTTTTTCCGATGGAAATCGTTGATTATCCCTTTTCCATTTGTCCATTGATTTTTCTTAATTTCAGAACTAAATGTTCGAAAAAGAGGCAAGAAAGAATGATTTATTTCTCTTCGACCAATAATATGTTCATTCTAAAGAAATCTTTGTGTCATACGGAAGAAAAAAGGCCGTAGTTAACCTGAGAAGAATTAAGATTGGATTTTATTACGCGTGAAACCAAATGATGAGATTGATCAATGTTTGTAATAGACTGAGAACGTCTGAATCCTTGATTAGATTTGCTTTGTTTTTGTTCAGTGTCATCTCGATCATTGGAAGTTACTGAAGAGATACTTCTCAGTGTTTGAATATTAGCATGAATAACTGTGTTTGGTGAAGATTTTTTATACTAAATTAAAATTTCTTTTGAAATGAACCATAAGAAAAAACATCAGCTCACTTTATTATTACAAGAATGATGACGGCGTATACGTGAAATCGATACAGTACTCGATTTACTTCGTCTTCTCATTTTATAAGATTATTCACGAATGAAAGAAACAATCTTTTCTCGACAATATCTCATTTCAAACAAATATAATTAAAAATAATGTAATAAAAAAAGCCAAAATAATTCTTCTTTCTGTACAATAAAGGATTCCTATTTCAGCTGAAAGTCTTGTAACGCGCTCACTAACGTCAAAGAAAAGAGTATTTCAATCAAATAGAAAAGAACTAGAGGGAGACCCGCTGCAAATAAGAAATATCTATGTCGAACATCTCACGTTTTGAAGATCTATAACAGGTAGAAAATCGGTATAATTCAAATTTCTACGCTTCCACTCCTTATTTTTCCGCCGTGCATCGCATAGAATGGCAGTTTCGGCTATATCTTTTTATGCAAAAGAGTTGCCGAAGCCAATTTCTGCCTCAGAAATTATGAAAATTTTGTCTTTCTCTAGTATTCATTTTCCACTCCAGCTGTTCATTCATCGACCTCTTTCTCACTCTCACGTCATTTCATGCCTTATATCCTTCGAATTCACCCGCCCTCATCATTTATCTTAATCTTTTGAGAACCTGTAACGCTATTGGTGAGTTTCGC